GATGAGATGGTTAGATAGCATCACTGAAGCAATGAGCATGAAACTGAGCAAACTCAGGGAGGCAGTGAAGGACAGGAAGGCCTGGCGCAATATGGTTCATGGGGTTACGAAGAGTCGGACACGACTTAACGACTAAACAACAATTGTTAATTGATAAGGTACTAGTAAACTGTCTCACATTATCCTTGTATCTGCATAGCAAACCTGTATTCAACTCCCCTCACCTCATTCCAGTTTAAATCTATTTAAGTCTAGCCATTCTATGCACCTGATGAGGTTAAGTTGCAGCCTGTGCTCAGGAGTCACTCTTCATTCTTCTCCAGTGTCACACATTTTTAATATTAGCCTTTTAATATTAGCTGAAAAAGATAAAAGATCCTATTTTATTGGTCCACCCCAGGTGCCCATGGACCCTACAAGGTTCCCAAGGGAGCTTGGGGTCATCTCTGAAGCTCCGATTCACAGTCTGATTGACGCCTTGGCTGACTCTTGAAGGAGAGGGCAACCTAGGCCTTGGATCAGGTCACCTCTGTCCAATACTCTCTGCTTGTGGATATGGCAGGCCCCTTGGTTTATAGAGGCCCTCTGGAAAATGAAGGGGCAGAAAAGATGCCTAGAATGACACTGAAGAAAAATGAAGAGTGACTCCTGAGCGCAGGCTGAAGCCTTCCTTAACAATTACCTTGTGGCAATAAGACTGGTGAAACATTCGTATTGCACCTGCTGATTGCCGCCCAATGGCCTTGTTTGTGGTGATCCAGTCCCTCTTGGGTAAGGAGGGTCCAGGAAGCCCTTACAAGGCTGCTGTGAAGAATATTCTTTGCATCTGGCAAACGGATGCAAAGAATATTCTTGGATTTGGAATCTTGGATTTGGCTGGGCAAGTTCCACAGAGGTGAGTGAGGCACAGTCTGGCCTGGTTACCTGGGATCAGTTTGAACCTGTTGGTCCTGATGAAGTAGACCAACTGTTGGGGCAATGTTAGCTTTCTTGAGGTACACTTGATCAGGGAACAGACTCCACAGGAAGACCAGAATTATTCTATTGAGATAGGCCATAGTGTATGGCTGATTGTGCTTCTCCTCCCCTCCTTAAGCCCTAGTGAGTCAGGGAGGAGTCAGCCTGAGTCTCCTCTTAATACTACCTTCCTTTCCAGAGTTTAAGGAATCTTCCTGTCCTCTTTGTTTACACAATGGTTTCTGAATATTTGCTTCAAGGCTGTCACCCTGGTTGATTAAAGCTGCCAGTGTGGGGTTATGTAGTTGGAACCAGGCAGTGGTAAATGCATCCTTGAAGGAGGGGGTGGTTCTGCCAGCTCTGAAAGAGGCAGTGGTCCACCCCCTCCTCAAGTTCTCCTGGATCCAACAGAACTGAACAATTTTTTGTCCCATTTTCAACCTTCCCTTTTTAGAGAGGTAGTTGATCTGCAGCTCCAAAGGGCCTTGGAGGAAGCTCATTATGTAGACCACTTTCGGTCTGGTTTCAGGCTGGGTCATAATACCGAGATAGCATTGGTTGCCCTTGTTCTTGACCTACAGACCGCACGGGATGGAGGTAGAGCATTCATTCTGGCCCTCCTTGGCCTCTTGGCAGCTTTTGATATCATAAACTATGATAGCCCTCTGGACTGGCTCAGGAGGTTGGGAGTGGGAGGCAGTGTTGTGGTGATTCTTCTTCCTTCAAGGTAGGCTCCAGTCAGTGTTGGAGGAGGGTGAGCCTAGACACCAGCTTTGCCAGGTGCCTCAGGGCTCCACTTTCTCACCATTTTTGTTTAATATCTCCAAGAAACCACTGGGGAGAGGTCATCTAGAAGAATGGGGTGAAGTATCATCAGTATGCTGATAATACTCAGTTATATATCTTTGCCTCTAGCTTTGCAAGTAATGCTATCAATGGGCTGTCCCAAACTCTGGAGGCTGCTGGGGACCTGGATGGGGAAGAAGAGGCTTCAACTCAGCCCTGGCAAGACCAAGTGGCTGTGGGTTTTGCCCCACCATCTCAAAACTGGAAATCTTCCATCTTCGTCTCTATGGGGGTAGCATTCCCCAATGACGTGCAATTTGGGGGCCCTCTTGAACTTGTGGCTCCTGCTTCGTGAGCAGGTAGCAGCTGTGGCCAAGAGTCCTTTGCACTACAGGTAGTCCTTGTTTAGCGACTGCCTCATTTAGCAACTGTTCACAGTTACAACAGTGATGAAAAAGTAACTACAACCAATCCTTGCATTTATGACCTTCACAGTTCTGTAAAGCACAGGAAAGCTGAAGTAAGATCATAAACACAATTGTGGTTTCACTTAGTGACTGCTTCATGTAACGACCGAGTTGCCAGTCCTAATTGTGGTCGCTAAATAAGGACTACCTGTATTCCTTCTAGTGTAAAAATTGCACACATGTATCATGTTTTAAGTGTTCGGGGTCATCATAATGTTTGAGGATCTGTGGAAGTTGTAAAAAACAGATTAAGGGACATGTACTCTTGTAACAAATAGCAAAGAAAATAAATATAGAAATATTAAGCAATACTAGAGAGGAATGAGGACTACCACACAGGAGGAAGATCAAAAAGGAAAACTGGGAACAAGCCCAAAATATGTTTGAAGGTTATCTACCTACATTTAGAGAATGCAATTTAGAACAGAAAAAATATGCCTATGGCTGGATATGGTAAGAGGTAAGAGAAGGTGAAGAATGATGAAAAGCAGCTCTATAGATGAAAATGTTATAATTTTGCTTTTCTGTCCTCTGATATGAAGGAATGTTGCAACAAGCAACATCATGAACTCTAAAGATTGAGAAAGTCTCAGAGGGGTTTCTTACACATCCCTCCAGTCCACAGAAGAGAATGAGAAAGGGAAACAATATGGAAGTTAATGACCGGAGAACAAATGGTGTTGACAGAAGAGATCGAGAGTCTGAATTAACCAGATGCTGGATGCTGGCATGAAAACAATGGCACTTCTCAAAGACCAGTACAAATGTGTAGGGATCAAAATAAAAAATCTAAATTAAGGACCTTAGATCAAGGATTGTGTGCTGTGAAAGGAGATGAGCATGTTGATTTATTAATCAAATTTATATAGCCGCCCATCTCATGAGAAGTGACTCTGTTGCTGAAATGGGACCTGTTAAACCATCAATAAACATTTAGGAAGAACACTGGCTCATGAAATTCATTGACTTTCACTGTTTCTACACCAACACACACAATTTAGGAAATAAACAAGATGAGCTTAAATTCTTAGTAAAGGAAGGAAAATATGATTTAATAGATATAACAGATCCTGGTGGGATAACTCACATGATTAGAATACAGTCACTAAAGGATAAATTTGTATAAATTTGATCAAAATGAATAGAAAAAAATAAGACAATTGTTCTATATGTTCAAAGTATCCACTCCTGCTCAGATATCCAAATGAATGTACTTTACTATGTTGTAGGAACCATATGGGTTAAAGGGGAACAACAAATACAAGCAATACTGTTGTTGGTGTCAAATCAAAACTTCATTATGGCCATTGACCAGGAAGTGTTGCTGGTATCTACTATTATACATGCACAAAATGTAGAAATAGATTAGCGAAGTAAGAAAGGGAGCGCTCCTCCTATTTTACCTCTGTTTTCTCCAATACAGTGGTACGTGTTCCCCATGGCAAATATGAAGCAGCAGGACTATAACTGGGGACTGATTAATTTTTTGGAAGGGTATACCTATTTAGACTCAATGAGCTTAAATCTTCAAGACCAGGTAAACTATTTCCGGTAATTTGTGTGTCAATGCCTAATTTAGAATTTGCAGAACGGATACCAAAGAACACCACCAAAGGAGACACCAGGACAGCAACACACTTTTGAGACAATGTATTGATCAATGCCCCTGAATAGACTCACAGCACCTGGGGTCCTTCCTCAATCAGCCACGGTGAGCCTGAGAGGTGAGGACAGTCTCCAGAATTTGGCTCACCGATTCCGCAGGACAGATCTTACAGCCCTTTGCCCCACTCCCCCACTCCTAGGAACACTTGGCTGTTTGCCTTGCCTGCTCATGGCAGCGAGCGGTGAGCTACTCTGGAGGTAAAAGCCATCAGCCATTAACCACGCCACAGGGAAAAGCTGCTCAGGAAGAAATAGCTTGTTTAAGCAATCTCTCCACTTCGTGAGGGGAAAAAAGAAAAAAAATGGGTCAAGCGCGGGACAACTGCTTCCTAGACAGTTGCCTCAGGAGCCATGGTCTAAAGGTGCTTCATGTATTATTTTTAAGAAACTCTGGAGAAGAGGAGGCAAGTGTTGTCTCTACCGTCAAAATGGAGAGAGGACGATCCAAGGAAGTACAGATCACTATAGTTTGACACTGATATTTGGGAAGACTGGAGAGCAATTAATGAAGAGATCAGTCTACAACCAGCTTGAAGACAAAGATGTAATCACCAGACCTCAGCATGGATTTATTTAAAACAAATCTTGCCAGACTAAACTTATCTCACTTTGTAGATTGTGGGAATGCTATAGACATAACATAATTAGATTAAAAAGCGTGACAGAGTATTCCACAGAATTCTGATTAGCATGCTAGTTCATTGTGAGCTGTATGGCCTGAAAGTACACTGAAAGAATATCCACAAATAGAGAGCCAGTGTGGTGTAGTGGTTGGACTAGAAGCAGGGAGACCCAGGTTCTAGACCACCTCCAGCTACAGAAGCTCACTAGGTAACTTTGAGCCAGTAACTCTCTCTCAGCCCAACCTATTTCATAGGGTTAGGGGTGTGCAGAAAACAGGAGGATGGAGCACTAAGTACACTTCTTTGAGCTCCTGTATATAAATACAGGATATAAATCAAATCAAATCAAAAAGTAAATGTTTCATCAAACTGGAGAGAGATAACAAATGGGATGCCTCAAGGTTCACTCCTGGGCTTTATAATCTTCATCATTTTCATTAATGACTTGGATGAAGAGGCAGAGGGCATATTCATCAAGTATGCAAATGACACAAAACTAGGTCAGGCTGATAATATCCTGTAAGATGGAAATATAATTCAGAACATATAGATATGTTCTGAATTTATAGATTATAGATTTATAGATTATAGAAATTGACTGAAATAGCAGAATGGAATTTAATGAAGACAAATGCCAGACTTTCACTTTGAAAACAAAAATCATATGCACAGCTGTAGGATGGGGGAAAACAACCTGGTCTGGTAATAGTATTTGTGAAATAGATCTTGGAATAGTAACTGATTACAGATTTAAGATGGGACAGTAGAATGTTGTGGCTGCAATAAAGGAATTGCAGGTTTAGACTGCATAAACTGAAGTACAGTTTCTATTTCTTGGGAAATGATACTCTCTTTATTCTGTGCTGCCAGACACCAGCTCAAGTACTGTACTGTATCCAGTTCCATTTCTAAGAACAAATCAAAACAGGAACAAAGAAGGGCAGCACGGGTGATTAGGAGGTGATCAGTTTCTAAGTCATGTGAAAGGAGCTTGAGAGAATTGGAAGAATTTAACCTTGTGAATAGAAAACTGAGATATGATATATGATATGATATGATACAATAGCACTTTACAAACAGAAGAAGGTCAAGATTTGTTCTCTGTCATTTGAACTGCAAAACATAAAATAATGGATTGAAGTTACAGAAAAGCAGATTTCGACTGAAGGTTAAAAGCACTTGCAACAATGGCACCAATAACCCAGAGAGGAAGGAGGCTCCCATTCACTGGATGTTCTCTGGCAGAGGCTAGGCAAAGTCAGTGCTTGAATTTAGATTCCTGTGGGGAGCAGGGGATAGGACTCAGTGGCCTCTGTGGCTGCTTCCAATCCTATGATTCTAGGCACTCTGATTTTGGGGCCAATATATATATGGTGAAGCACAACACGTAAATATAATTAATTTAGTTGTTAGCATATTATATAGTATAGTATAGCATAGCTGTAATTAATATAGTTGAGAATTGTTTAGATACACTTTATAAAATTATACATATTACCTCATCTGCGGCAGGAAAGACTTCTTATAGCTATCCTCAATGCTTTGTAGATAAGCTGCTGACACTTTTTTTTCATATGGCTCAAAAGAAAAGACAATTAATGAGAATACTTCTGCTGCCTGACATGATCAGATAACCCTTGCTATTCATGTGACTTTACATTTCAGCCCTTGAATAAATTGTAAGTAGTTTACAGAAGAAGCAAACATCTTTGAGCTCACTCTTGCCCCCTTACCAGGCTACTTTATTTCTTTCTTTGTGCAACGTACCCACCACCTCAATCCCAATGGACTCTAGGCAGTTAACCACAAGTGGACTACGCAACTCAGGCAAGATCAGCTCGATCTTAAGGGGACCGATTTACTACATGCAGGGAGTTTCTTCCACAGAGAAGGAAAGGGCAATCAACTAGGCTTCCCACCTCAGGGCTGCTGGATTAAAAACAAGGAGCAATAAATATTGGAAGACATTGGATGTGTTTAAAACTGATTTATCCCTGCCAAAACAACTTCAGGCAAAGCAGCGTATAAACAGGCAAAGCCCCCAATGCAACCAATTTTACTGCCCTGGAGCAAAAGTACTCCTGGTCACAAACTAAGATACAAGGTTACTAAAGGCAGCTTTACCTGGCCTATCTTTTCAATCCTTTTCTTAACTTCTGAGACAGGCACATCAATATAAATGACCAAGTGAGGAGGCAAAACCTCACAAATACTAAGGCTCTTCATCCTGTAGTAGTGTTTCACACCTACAAAAGAAACCAGCATTCACATGCAAATGATTTAATCCCCTAAGGCCGAGTAGTATTTCAAGAAAGCTTCCCATCTGAAAGCAGGTGTTCAGGCTACACTGTTGCAGCATTATGCATCCTTGTCCCAGCGCCTGACCCAATGTCTGCTCGGCACCCTTTGGGCAACTCAAGTGGCCACCCAATAATCCAGCAAGCAGTGCTCACTCCACCTTTTCACCAGATAACTGTCTCCTTTAGCAACTCAGCAGCCTCCTGCTACAGAAAAGCAGCTTGGTGCCATGCAGAACCAGGCTACGGAGTCCCCTCTCTGGCCCCAAACTGGCTGCTTCTGAGCAGGGGGAGGGCAATCGCCCAAAGGAAGGGGGAAGTTTTGCAACATCACCTTCCCTCTAGTCGGGAGCTCCATAAAACTCTCCCCATACAGGAAGAGGCAAAGCCTGTTTCAACTGAAGATTAATCTTCCTGTTCTTGATTTTTCTATCCAAAAGGAGGTAAAGAGGGACTGAAAAATAAATGATGAACTACCCATCAGTTCCCCTTTGGGCTCATAAATATCTTTTAATGGTAAGATTCAGATCATGCAGGTAGCCATTCCAGTCAAGGTGTTCCTGCTTAGATACATAACATATTAACTTTCACTCTAATGCTTGCCATCTTTTATTTTCTTTCTAGTCTTGCGTTGTTCTGCTTTTGTAGTTTGTTTTGCTTTGGGTTTTTTTTGATGTGAGCTGCCAAGAGTAATTTTGATTGCAGCAGCATACAAATATGTTTCATAAATAAATGCAACACTTATGAAATACAAATAATAGTTTTCTGGCTGGAGAAAACTGTTTTAAATGTTTTGTGTTACTTCCGTGCATCCGTCAGGGTTATGTCAGCTCTGCACTAAGTTGTACCAAATGACTACACCTCACCCTAGTTTCAGTACCCATAATCATTTCTTCCACTAAGGAGCTGCCAATTACATCATCCCAAACTAAAGAACAACCATGACAAAAATTACCACATAGTTTTGCCACTGACCATAAACTAAACCCCACAATTCATTTCAGTGGGAATAGAAATGCAACTCTGAGAATGGAATGGGGCATTTGCATGGAGAATTGTGAAAATTTGGGCGGTAAAGTAAAATTATCTCAGCAACCACTAGCAATCATCACTTCTCAGTAAAAAAGAGATTACTTACACCTTGGGTGAATGTAGCCTTGCTTTGACATCGCCTCCAAGAAAACAAAGTCACTGTAGGGGGAGCGCTCCAGCACTATCCCTTGTCCTGAAATTAAGGTAGGATCACAGCCATAAAACTTCTCTTATGCAAACACCACTGCAACTGATTTTTACTAGAGAGTGCAAAATGTTTTGAACTCAAAATATTATTCATGTTCCAAAGCTTTTCTGATGTCACCAGGAGGGTTGCAGCTTGGACAATGCTTGTTTCAAGACTTGAACACTTCTGATGAGGTCAGAAAAGCTTCAGATCATTTTTGGCAAGATCAGTTTTGGGTTTGAAATATTTTGCACACCTCAGTTACCAAATTGCTCAGTTCCCACTCTGTGTACTTCTTTCATTTCCCAGTTTCTTTTTAGGAAAATCTGCTTTTAGAAAAGCAGGTTTTCTAGGATTATTTATTCATTTATTTAATCAATTTGTATAGCTGCCCATCTCAACAAGTGACTCTGGGTGGTGAGTAATATTAAAAATAAAAATAAAATAACAATGCTAACAAAAATTAAAACACATGGCAGCTGAGAGAAACACAACAATCATTAATCATTAGCACAACCAGGGGACAGGGTCCTTAACACACTCGGAGCACCAAGACCCAGGCTCAGAACCAGGTCTTTAGGGCTTTGAAAGGCCAGCAGGGTTGGGGCCAACCTAATCTCTGGAGGGAGAATATTCCAGAGGGTGGGTGCTACAGCAGGAAAGGCTCTTTCTGGACCTCACCAGCCAGCATTCCTTAGCTGAACCTGAGGCATACCTATCCTTTACACAACTGGAAGGTGTGCAAAGGCTCTCCAAGCCACAGCTGCCACCTGCTCTTTGAGCAGGAGCCTTGAGTCCAGGAGGACTTCCAGCTTGCACACCAGTGTTCTGAGGCAATGCCACCTCACCCAGAACCAAAGATGGAAGATCCCTGGCACTAGAACGTCCAAACACCGGAGGCCATTCAGTCTTGTTTGGGTTGAGCTGAAACCTGTTGCACCCCCACAGCCTCCAACAACTTGGACAGGATGTCCACAGCATCACTCAGGTGGCCCGGAGTGTAGATGTAAAACTGGGTATCATCAGCATACTGGGTATACCTCACCTGAAACCATCAGATGACCTCACCCAGCAGCTTCATGCAGATGTTAAGCAGGAGGGGAGAGAGAACCAAGCCCTGCAGCACCCCACAGGCTGCAGGTTGGATCTCTCTCCCCAGCAACACCAATTTGAACCAGCCCCAGAGGAAAAAGGAGAACCAGCACACAGTGCCACCCACCCCCAATTCCCAGAGCCGGTCCAGGATACCATGATCAATGGTACTGAAAACTACTGAGAGGTCAAGAGCAAGGATGGACACACTACCCGCATCCCACTCCTGCCAGAGGTTATTCAAGAGCACAATCAATGCTGTCTTGGTCCCATACCCAGGTCTGAATCCTGACTGAAAGGATTTCAGATAATCTATTTCATCCAGAGCCTGCTGAAGCTGCAGTGCAGCCACCTTCTTCACACCTTCCCTAAAAAGGGAAGGTTGGAAACTGGATGAAAATTATCCAAGCTAGTTAGGTTGAGTGATGGCCCCTTGAGAAGAGGGTGCACCACTACCTCCTGAAGAGCCAGCAGGCCACCCCCTCCCTGAAAGAGGAATTAACCACTGTCTGAACCTAATCACAAGTCCCCTCCCAGGAGGAACATGGATCTAATACAGAGTGGCCAAACTAACAGCTGCAAGCACCCCATCCATTTCCTCAGGCCCAAAAGCATCAAACTCTTCCCAGATAACCACGCAAGACCTAGCTCCGGCAGCCTCCACTGGCCCTGCTTCAAGGCCAGAGTCCAACGCAGAGCGAATCCAAGTGATTTTATCTGTCAGATGCCTAGTAGCACATTCCTCACAACGACCCTGTAGGTGAATCCCAGAACTACTCTCTCTTAGAAGGGTCTGGGTTACCCAAAAGAAGGCCGCAGAGTGGCTATCGGTGGACACAATAAGGGTGGAGAGAGAGTCACGTTTTGCTGCTCTTACTGCCAAGAGGTAGGCTCCAAAAGCAGCTCTAGCCAGCGTTCAGTTGGGTTCCCTCCTTGTTGTCTGCCAGTGGTGCTCTAGGTATCTCTTCATCTGCTTCATCTCCCTAATCTCCTCTGTAAACCAGTGGTAGTTCTGGGATCCAGGGCTGCAGAAAGGCCGCTCAGATGCAATCCAATCCAAATCCCCAAGCAGCCACAAGAGCTTCAGTCAGACCATGTGGCGGACTCTTAGGAACAACCCCAAGCTCCCTCTGAAATCCGGCTGGGTCCCTTAGTCACCTGGAGTGGACCAATCTAATAGGTCCAGCCTCCCTGCGGTGGGGGTTGATGCCAGAGAACTGCAGGTTTACCAGGGAGTTTACCAGGGAGTGAATCCATCTCCCCCAAATCCAGAACACCTTGCCACCTGTCCGACAGAAAAATCAGGTCAGGAAAATAGCCACTGTTATGCGGTGAGCCCTGGATGACCTGGGACAGGCCCATGGCTGTCATGGTGGTCATGAACTCTGGAGCTACCTCTGACCCCACACCCAGAGAAGGCAGGATAAAGTCCCCCAGGACCATAAGCCTGGGGAACTCCACCACCAACTGGCCACAGAATCAAGGCGGTCAGGCAGGGAGGTTGCTATGCAGCAGGAAGGCTGGTACAACAGCAATAATCCCTATTTGCTCCACTTGTTTACAGTAATAAAGTCTTGCTAGATTACCTGTGCTCAAAAGATGGTCTAGAGCATCCGCATACTGTAAAAGGCGGGTGCAGTACATCCAAGCTTGGAGCCGGTAAGAGTTTCCATTTGGATGCTTAGGTTCATTGTAAAACGTCTCCAGACAGCAACTGCCATTATATTTTAAATCCAGTTTTTTTCCGTCTCCTGTGAGTCTGTCTAATAGATGAACATCAGCTTCTGGGAAATATCGCATACCTGCAAAGAGCATTAAAAATGCCAAGTATCTACTGATGCAGAAAATTAAATTCTTCCCAGATACAAGTGAAATAATCTTTTTTGAAGAGACAGTCCTCTTCTTGCACAAAGGAAGGAAAGCCTCTTCACTCAACTAAATGGCAATCTGCACATTCAATAAGTATCCTATTGTGAAAGTAACAGCCATATATATAATTACATTTTTCTATTTTATCTCAATTCTATATATAATAGGCTTGCAAAAGCTACTTGAAACCTTTTGGCAGATACTCTACATTGTTCCCAAAAGAACAGCAACTGCAACTTGCCTCAAAGTGAGATTTGCAGCTCACCCAAAGCCCTAACACAATAGAGAAGAAATTAAAACAGGTATCACTTTCTCACCCTTGAAATACAGAAGTGTTTTATATTTGTTGGTAGCATTCTCATTTGTATCTTTTATACTAGCACCAAATTCTTGATATTCAAATTACTACGTTACAGTTTAACAGTATATAACGGCCCATTACATACCAAATTTTTCTGCCACTTGTTGGGCAAGTTTCGCTGTGCCAGCGTGCAGATTACCATCCACTGTGAAGACTTTGCTGTATTCAGTGAACTTCGTACTAGCTTTATCTCCCAAAATAAATGCTGTCCAGCCATACTGAAGGTTCCTATGGGAACTAACATGAAGCCTTGCCTGGTGAGGAGAATATCTGTCAAATGCACATCTATGTTCTGCAATATCATTTACAATATTCCATATATACATTTTGGAGGGGGGAAAATAATCTACCAGAGAGTTTAGATATAATGGTTTAATCAAAAACATAAACAGAAGAAACCCAACAATCTATAAAAGGTGTTTGACAACCCTGTTTGACAACCTTGAATAATAGAAGACAGTCACCAGTCCTCCGTCTTCAAACACAAATCAGAATAGTTTCAAAAGAGGCACATTATACAGCATTTCAAACCAATGGCCTGAACCAGTTTAAACTGCCGTCTCAATGGGAGGCATAAAGATCAGTAGCTGTCAGCAGAATTCTCACCAATAATTCTGAAATGACTCAGCATTTCAAACTAAACACCAAGATTGAGTTAAATAGAAATTAAAAATGTATTTCTAGACAGTTACAGTGGGGCAAAAAAGTATTTAGTCAGCCACCAATTGTGCACGTTCTCCCACTTAAAAAGATGAGAGAGGCCTGTAATTTTCATCATAGGTATACCTCAACTATGAGAGACAAAATGGGGGGGAAAATCCAGAAAATCACATTGTCTGATTTTTAAAGAATTTATTTGCAAATCATGGTGGAAAATAAGTATTTGGTCAATATCAAAAGTTCATCTCAATACTTTTCAAACAGTCACACTCCAAACTCCACTATGGCCGAGACCAAAGAGCTGTGGAAGGACACCAGAAACAAAATTGTAGACCTGCACCAGGCTGGGAA